ACACTCGGATATTTATCCTTTTGAATTTGACACATGCAAATCAAAATTTAAATGGAAAAGCCATTTGAAGGAACACAAATTAACACATTCTGATATTTATCCTTTTGAATGTGACATTTGTAAAGCAAAATTTAAAGTAAAATACTATTTGAAGAAACACAAAGTAACACATTCTAATATTTTTCCTTTTGAATGTGAAACATGCAAATCAAAATTTAAACTTAAAAGCAATTTGGAGATTCATAAATTAACACATTCAGATATTTATCCATTCAAATGTGAGACTTGCAACGCAAAATTTAAACAAAAAAGTAATTTGAAAAGCCACATATTAACACATTCGGATATTTATCCTTTCGAATGTGTCACATGCAAATCAAAATTTAAACTTAAGGGAAATTTGAAGATTCATAAACTAACACATTCGGATATTTATCCATTTGAATGTGACATTTGCAATGCAAAATTTAAACAAAAAGGTAGTTTAAAAAGCCACACATTAACACATTCGGATATATATCCATTTGAATGTGATATTTGCAAATTAAAATTTAAACGGAAAGATAGCTTGAAGATTCACAAACAAACACATTCTGATATTTATCCATTTGAATGTGACATTTGCAATGCAAAATTTAAACAAAAAGGTAAATTAAAAATCCACACATTAACACATTCGGATATATATATCCATTTGAATGTGATATTTGCAAATTAAAATTTAGACAGAAATGTATTTTGAAGATTCACAAATTAACACATTCTGATATTTATCCTTTCGAATGTGACACTTGCACATTAAAATTTAAACAAAAAAGGACTTTGGAAAGGCACATACTAACACACTCAGATATTTATCCTTTTGAATGTGACACATGCAAATCGAAATTTAAACGGAAAGACTATTTGAGCAGACACTTATTAACACACTCGGATGAGAAAAATGCAACATATGCAACGCCAAATTTAAAACAAGAATTAATTTGAAACAACATTCAGGGACGCATTCAGCTAGATAAGTGTAAGTTTGAATGTAATGCTTGCTTTAGTAAATTTAGCATCCCAAACAAATCGATAAACTAGGGTTTCAATGTAACTTTTCTGAATGCGAAATGTACAGTGTATTTGATTATATTTAAACCCATACCTACAGCCTTTATATTATTTCATATTGGAAAAAAATTTATATACAAAATCTGACAGTTTTTTCTATATATTTTTTTTTAACGAATATGTTATTATTAGTAGGGATGAGGCCAGAGATGGAGCTCTGGAAGAGGGGTTAGGGGGGCAAAGCAAAGTTCTGAATCGTGTGCTCTTGAGTTGAAGAAATAGTTTTTGGTTTTTTCAAACATTTTTCTTATACTCGTTTTTTATACAGTGTTTATTTTATTCGATTATATTATTTGTAGGTTTGGCATATATACATGATCAGTTTTTGATGTGTATGTGTTGACATTTTTTTGACAGGTATGGAGAAGCGCTGACGCTATGTGTGCCCATATTTCGCTGTCTGACTATTAGATTCCTATTTTATATTATATTTGCTCGTGGTATATACATTTTGCGTTTTCAAAAAACAGTTTAGAGATGCTTCCTAAAATTACAAATTCGCGTGCGTCCCAGCGCCAGCTATCTTGGAATTGTAAGTGCTGACTGTACACAGGCTTTCTATTACTAAAGTACGACCTATTTTGAAAATATTAGCCTTCAGAAAACTTTTGCATATTTTCGACGTCACCACCTAAACTATTAGCCCGTGGTCTGATATTTAGACGAGAATTTGAAGAGTGATATGAAAGACGCATCATGTAACGTCACGTTTAGCAGATTTCATTACACGAGGGACGACAGAGAAGGCAGATATAACGTAGACTGTAGAGAGACGGAGAATGCGAGCCAATGACAATGACGGACGAGGAATGATTGACACAAACCATAATCTTATGACTGAAGAAGTACCTAATCAAAAATATTGCGAAAACTCTCAAGAGATAAAGTAATCTTCTTTTAATACCTGGCTTCATCCCCACTAATAATAAGATATTCATATAAAGATTTAAGCCACGATAATACCTGATATTTTCTTTTAACGTCATCAGAAGAAACAAAGTCGCATCGAAAAATGGAAAAAAGTAGACAACTTCAACTTTTTTCAATATATCAATATCAATTATGCGCACTGTTGCCAGATCTCACGATTATTCGTAAGATTACACGATTTTGGTCATAATTACATAATCTCACGAATGAGATATCAATTCTTAGGAATTCTCTCTGTGGTAATACAAATCAGTAATCAAATATAATGTAATCGGGAATAAAAATCTACTATACAATATTTAGTAATGTTACGCCGCTCCTGGTACATGCGTGCTTAAGAACACTTTACCTATAGCACGGCATATACAAAAACAATCAGCAAGCTGACTCTGACTCGAGCTTTGTATCCCAAAATGGCGGCGTGCGCAGATGAGATACGCGTTACATCTCATTGTACTGCCATTTAAAGATAGGCTGTAAGAGTTAACCTGCTACTTGTTTTTGTATATGCTGTGGTACTAGAACTGCTTATTAAGCTGAAAGTGTCTGCCAAGACCCCACTATTTATGACGTCAGCTGCAGACCTCAACTCTTGGCAGAAAATGCATCATGCGAGTCCAAAAAACGAATCAATAAACGTTGAAATCGCCTTTCCTAAATTTAAAATTCCCAAAATAACTAACTCACAAGCACAGTGTGAATTGCAAGCAATCCATCGAGGTTTGCGGGTGATGTTACCACTATCAGCTGCTGATAATGGTGTCGTCAGTCGCAGACCAGCTGCCGACTCAAGAATTGGCGAACGTACGCCTCATTAGGATGAGCATATGAGCAATCCTGCAGATAATGAAAACGAGGTTCAGCTCTCAGAAACACCTACTAAAATACGGAAAAAACAAGGATACAAGATTTAATAATAAAATGTTTATTTCTTATGGATGTAAAAGCATGTATACTTTATCAAAAATCTATAAAACAACATTGTTGTGCATTATTTTCTTACAATATTTCAGCAGTTTTGAGTCTCTCGATTTCTCACGATTTTTTTTTCTCGATTCTCTCGAAATGATTTTATTTCATCTGGCAACACTGATAATGCAATAAAATTTTTAAAAAATTCTTCCTGACTCCATATACGTATAATCTTCTAGACTAGGAAAAAAAATAAATAAAAAAACAAAAAGTAAATGAATAAAAAAAAAAAATGTAAATTTTAATTATAAATTTTTATTTCAGAACATTGTAAATAAACTACCACAACTAAGTTATTATTAATAGGTGTATGTACATGTACGTGGTGATCCAAATTGGACACTCTCTTATGGAAACACCCTTTATATTTAGAGATAGAAAAAAAAGACCCCCCTCACCCTGAGGGTCAAGTTCCATGAAATCATGATTGGTGCATATCACATTTTAATATCTTGAACCATTTAGTCGTTAGAGGGCGATAAGAGAGTGTCCAATTTGTACCACTCTGTACATATTAATATTTGGTATTTATGCATATAGGTGGTGGCATATGGTAATATTAGGTATATACATAAATATAGAATGAATAAATGATAGGGTTGCAGTCAAATTTTAAAATCTTTCAAATCCTCTTAGGCATTGAAACGAGACTCATTTTACTTTTGTATGAGTAATAAATATAATTCTACCAGAATTTTCCATATTGTATTAATTTCTCAAAATCCCGAATTTTATTCCCACCTATCTATTGTAATTCCAAAATTTAAAAACCGTTTTTTTTTTTTTTTTGGTTTATTATATAAATATTTAGAAGATGGCATTAAAAACGAAATGGATATTTTTAAATGTGACATTTGTAAAAAACAATGTGAAGGAAAAGGCGATTTGAAGGCACAGATATTAATACACTCGACTGAGAAGAATTTTAAATGCAACATATGCAATGCACAATTTAAACAAATATTTAATTTGAATAGGCACATATTAACACACTCGGATATTTATCCTTTTGAATGTGACACATGCAAATCAAAATTTAAACAGAAAGGTAATTTGAAAATTCACAAATTAACACATTCTGATATTTATTCTTTTAAATGTGACACATGCAAATCAAAGTTTAAACGGAAAGGTGATTTGAAGATTAACATATTAACACACTCGGGTGAGAATAATTTTAAATGTAACATATTGTTAAAACCTATATTCTTTAGTATGTAAGATTTGTATTTTTTGATAATAATGGCAACACTGTGCGTCACTAGAAAGCGAGAGGCCATTGTAATATCAAGGCTAGTTAGAGTGATTGTGTGTAATCTAGATAGATAAATAAAATGGAGTCACACCAGTTTTTGGCCCTCTAGAAAATTCGTCTTTTTTTCGATTTAACCCTCCAATTTTGTGGTCAATTAAAAAGGAAAATTAAACTATTTGATTCAGCTATATTTACAAAAACAATTCGTGATGAATCAATTAGCGCAATTAATGTAGTCTGATCAAAATTACATTTGAGCAAGTGAAGCAACACATTTGTTTAAATTATAATAAATATTGTATCTACTAATAAATTAGCCTAATAGTTGTATTAATTTTTGGAATTTTTATCCTACCTTTATGTAATATATAATTTCCAAATCTAACTAAATGATGTTTTTTTAGGTTTATGATTAATGAATATCTACAGGATGACATTAAAAATGAACTAGAAGTATCAGATATTGAATTGATAGATCCAAATAAAGGAATATTTATAAAGGAAGAGAAATATTCAAGAGCTGCCGATTCATCAGGACCAGATGTTTTTGGAAAAATTCAATGTTACACCTGCAATGCTTTATTTAAAACTAAATCAAATTTAAAACTGCATTTGGTGACACACCTGAATAGTTTTCCCTTTGAATGTGACACTTGCAGAACAAAATTTAAACGAAAATACGAATTGAAAAGTCACAAACTCATACACTCGAATATTTTTCCTTTTGAATGTGACACTTGCAAAGCAAAATTTAAACGAAAAGGCGAATTGAAGAATCACAAACTGACACACTCTGATATTTATTCTTTTGAATGTAACATTTGCAATGCAAAATTTAATCGAAAAGGCGAATTGGAGAATCACAAAGTAAGACATTCGGATGTTTATTCTTTCGAATGTGAAACTTGCAAAACAAACTTAAACGAAAATACGAATTGAAAAATCACAAAGTCATACACTCTAATATTTTTCCTTTTGAATGTGACTCTTGCAAAGCAAAATTTAAACGAAAAGACGAATTGAAGAAACACAAAGTAACACATTCGGATATTTATCCATTTGAATGTGACACTTGCAAAGCAAAATTCAAACGAAAACCCGACTTGAAGAGTCACCAACTGATACACTCGAATATTTTTCCTTTTGAATGTGACACTTGCAATGCAAAATTTAAACGATTAGGCGAATGGAAGAATCACAAACTAACACATTCCGATATTTATCCTTTTGAATGTAACATTTGCAAAGCAAAATTCAAAGGAAAATGCAATTGGAAGAAACACAAACTAACACATTTTGATATTTATCCTTTTGAATGTAACACTTGCAAAGCAAAATTTAAAAAAAAAGGCAATTTGAATATTCATAAATTAACACATTCTGATATTAATCCTTTTGAATGTAACATTTGCAAAGCAAAATTTAAACTAAAATCCAATTTAAAGAATCACATGTTAATACACTCAGATATTTATCCTTTCGTATGTAATATTTGCAATGCAAAATTTAAACGAAGAGGCGGGTTGAAGAATCACAAACTTAAACATTTAGTATAGTACAACTAAGTCGTTTATACCAGGTGTCCAACTGAGGTCGGCCAGGTACGATATTATGGAAACCATAGACCTTACGGCTTCGGGATTTTTTTTTCTTCACTAAATCGGCCAAGAGAAATTGATGGAAATTATTTTCAAGTTTCTAGGATGACCGCTAGTGGGCGCAATTACGATGATATAGCTAAAAATTCAACTTTTCTTAAGAAATCGCTATATTAAGATACTGTTTTAACAACAGAAATCAAAAGTTCAATAATTTTTGCGCCAGTTTGGATATCAGGCTTTTTTTCGTATCTTCAGTAATAAGGGTGGGGAAAGCTGGTGAAATTTTTTTTTTAGAAATTGCTGTATCTTCTATACCCCTCATTCAAACTCGTTCAATTTGGGTTTATCTGGAAGAGAATTTCATTGTTATCAAGAACAGCATTTCGTTCGAGGTCGATAGTTCTCACCGCGTCTTCTAGAGGGCGCTGTTTATTCAAGATCCAGTTTTTTCTAATTTTCATGAAAAATCCAAATGGCATAATATTATTTTTGTATTGCTGTGCTTATAGAGCAAAAAATATCTACATTTTGGCGCAAACCGCAATTCAATATCTGCATTCGTTTTCAAGTAACGTAAGGTCTATGGTCTCTATAATATCGTACCTGGCCGACCTTAGTGAGACACCCTGTGTAAAGGAACCCGGAACAAATTAGCTTAAAGCTGAGACTAGGGGGAATGGTAGTTTTATAGGTCTTTTTCAACATACTGAAAATCCCCCAGTCCGCGTGACCAAAAGGCTCCAAAATCGGTCCGCCATCTTGAATATCGTTTCTTTTTTTTATAAATCACCCTGTATCTTTGAAACTATGCGAGATAGTAAAAATTTGACGGAGTGGAAAATTGAAGAACAAAAAAAAATACTATGGTTAGAATATATACGAGCATTTCAGCTTAGATAGTTTTTTTTATAAAACGAGTGGTAAAAAAAAGATTTTCAATTTTTTTCACAATTATAAGTATAATGATATTTGGGTATGTTTACAAATAATAAAAATATCAAAAAATTTATTCAGGTGCGAAATTATGAATAAAAAATGCATAAATAAATAGCTTAAGAAATATGAATGTAGCTAGCTAATTAAACCATCTAGAGCAAATTCAAAAAAATCTTTTATGTAATAATTATTTGTTTCATTGTATGTTGAAATATTTCAAATAAAATCAGTTATTTTTGTATTAGGAGCATAAGTACAATATATTATAAGTCCTAATGATATATTAGGTTTATAGATTTTTGGCAATTCTTCAAATTTTGGGCAAATAGAATTAGATATATATTTTAAATTTTTTTGAAGTATTTTCATAAATCACATTAGAAAAATATTATGATTTCACTAGTTATTAGAATTATTCTGTAAAGTGTAGGGTCTTTAATTAGTTTAGTATTAGTATATCCATCATATAGCAAATCATTTGATAAGGATTCATAATAATGACTGTAACATTTCCTTTATAAAATCTAGTTATTTATATGTCTCTATGATTTAAAAAAAATATATATTTTATTATAGAATGTATGTAGTTTGGGCTAACATTTCTGAAGATATAAAAAAAAGTAGCATTTTGGGATTTAAATTTTGTGTATCACCAAATATCAATGACATTTAAATTTCATGTTTTAGATGTTAAATAAATATGATATGCAAATTAAATACAACTTTTATTTAAATTAATTACTAGGTTTATAAAAACCACGAAGTTTGACAAAACGCGTACTTGACATGGAATGTCATATATCAGAGTAGTCACCTCCATAGAAAAGACAATCAATACATAATAATAATAACCTATTCATGACACAAACTTATTAGATGATTAAGAAAATATGTTAAATAATTTTTATGCACTTTAGGGATTAAAAGTACGCTTTCAATAGAATATCAAACATTTGATTTACAACATTCATAAAAACGAATAGGAAGTGTTAAATTTTAAAAAATGCCTCGGCATTTTTTAAAATTTACAGGGACTTTGAATTTTCAAATATAAAAATAGTTTGAGAAGACACATTTTAACACACTCGGATGAGAGGAATGCAACATATGCAACGGCAAATTTAAAACAAGAAATAATTTGAAACAACATTCAGGAACGCATTTAACTAGATAAGTGTAAGTTTGATATTTATCTTTTTGAATGTGACACTTGCGAAGCAAAATTTAAATTTAAACATATAATTTGAAGAGACACCAACTAATACACTTGGATATTTTTCCTTTTGAATGTAACAGTTGCAAAGCAAAATTTAAACGAAAACTCGACTTGGAGAGTCACCAAGTAATACACTAAGATACTTTATTTCCGAATGTAACACTTGTAAAGTAAAACTTAAACGAAAAACCGATTTGAAGGCTCACAAACTTACACATTTGAATACTTATTCTTTTAAATGTGACACTTGCAAAGCAAAATTTAAACTAAAACATAATTTAAAGACACACATATTGAAGCATTTGGATGAGAAAAATTCAAAATGCAACATGCAACGCTGAAGTTAATACCAATGGTAATTTGAAATAACATTCAATGATGCATTCAGTTGAATAGCTGTAAGTTTGAATTAAATGCTTGCTCTGTAAAATTTGAACAAATAAAAAATCAAAAAATTAGTTTGTTTAAACAATCAGATTTGTTGTGACGAAAGTTGTTTGAAGTTAGGTATTTTTTCAAATATTGAATTATAGATCTTTTGAAAAGACCTGGACGACTTTATTCTGGGATGTAAAAGGCTTCAATTACCTGCAGCGGTATTGCAGATAGAACTTGTGAATTTAATACTCTTTCTGTTTAATGTCAATGGCTTATTATTCTTTTCGGAAAATATAGAGGTTTACAGGATATTGTACAAATTTATCATAAATAATATTACATTGTAACGAAAAAAGAAAAATAAATAAATAAATAAATAAATGAATTAAAAAAAAATAGCTACTTACTAAAAAAAAGGAAAAAAAAATATATAAATTGAAAGAAAAAAAAAAACAAATCTTAAAGTAAATTCGTTTATTACGTCGTTATTTTTTTCTTATAATGCCGCTAGTAACAACGTATTGTCGCTGATAAAATAAATTTCAATAATTCCTAAATTAGTGTCATTGTAAATACAAACCGGAAAAATAATATACACAATTGAAAAACTTGAAAAAGAGAAACATTACTTCCATAGTTTTGGAGTGAAGCAGAAATGTTCTGGGGATCCCAAAAAGAAGTCTGAAATTCAAGAAGTTTCCAAAATGTTTAGGAATTATATATCTTCATCACCACATCATTTAAATATTTTAAAACTGTAGTTTTTACTTGGTCCTCAATAAGCAGGATCTTAAATCATAATTAATCAGAACCCTTAAGTCTCTAGTCTCTAGTGTTTTTTCTTTAGATCTTGAGACACTGATTTTTGAACTTTAGATTTTTAGAATTTTTGATAAATTTTACGATTTTTGAGCAGCTCTGGATCCTTTAAGCCTTAAATCTTAAATTTGGAATCTTTAGTCTTAGAGGGTTAATGATGATGAGTCTTTGGTCTTTTTTCTCAAATCCTGAATAATCAGACTTTGAGACATGGGATTCTAAAGTATTCAAAGTCTTGTATTTCCACTTTCTAGGGCTTTGCTTTGGAATCTTTGAAGTATTTTAGTTTTAAGTAATGAACTTTGAAAACGTTGGAAGTTTTCAAAATTTATTGAGTCTATGGAGCTTTCAGGGAATTGGATTTCATTTTTTTTTCAGTCTTTTTAGAATTTCCAAAGGCTACTGTCTCAGGTCTTTAATCACCCGTTTTGCCTTTCGAATCTTGGGAAAAGAGGCTTCAAAGTCCTCAGAATTTATGGATTCTTTACTTTTTAGCATTATATCTCAAAAATCATTAGTCTTGAGCTTACAATCATTTCAAAATTTTCTAAATTTTTGGAGTTTTCAAGGGACTGACAGCCTTGATTTTTCAATTTCCGAAGATTAAGGCTTTAAATCACCCGTTTTGCCTTTAGAATCTTGGTAAAAAAGGCTTCAAAGACTTCAAAATCAACAAATTTTTTACTTTACAGTATATGGAAAAAAAGTATATTGAAAACGAAAATTTCGAGGTTTTAATTGCGGTTAACGCGGAAAAACATTCAGATGCACAGTAGACATATATCGTCTGTAGGGGCACGTGAAAGAGATGAAAATAAAATATGATTGGTTTGAATTGTGGTCGCCGGATTTTTTTTTTACACAAGTTGAGAATTTTTCTGTATCTTTGAACCACTGTATCTCGGTTACTATTGCGTTGAATAATACGTTCAACTGATGAAATTTGAAGGAAAAACGTATGGTTTAGAAAATATAAGCAAAAAACTGAAAAGGTCTGAAAATTACGTGGTTTCTCAACTCCCCCCAAGCTAGCACAGGGTCCTCGAGGTCGAAAACTCAGATTTTACTCCACAGACTACCCACAAATGACATACCAAAACATCATTACTTGCCTGCTGGACTAGAAGTTATGTTTTCAAATTTCAAATTATAGAGCTTCTAAAAAATTAAGACTCAAAAATCGCAGTAAATCACTTCTTATCATCAAGTAGATTTAAATTATTGATTAATTTCAACTTCAAAATAAAAATGAATCCAAAAAAGCTTCAAAGTTCCAATAATCA